ATAAAACAAGCATAAAGCTTTGTAAAAGGACATAAAACTATGAACCCTACAAGAATTTTGAACTGAATTCACCTTTTGAAAGAAAAAAAAATTTACATAACAAGCCGGCTCACGGCAATCTCCATCTTGATTAATGATGTACACATATATAATTGATAGGACTTTTTTTTTTGTGTTCAGGACAAATTCATAACTACAGGGAAATGAAGATGTGATGAATGGTATTTTGACAGAGAACATCAAGAAAAACTAATATTTACAAGTCATGACGGATCATCATCCTTCTCTGTTAATTATTAGATGGGGGATATCCGACAGATTTCCTTAATAATGTGCCATAATTAGGGTTAATGCTCTGATAACCTACATGAGAGCTGTACATACAGAGATCTGTTTGTAGCAAACAGTATCCTATTTTTCAACGGTAATAATCTGTAGATTTTCTATGTTTATCCACAGGATATAGTGGGAAAGCCAACTGGACAAAGCATCCATGTACAGTGTTCATCCAAAAGGATTTTTGTTCCGTGTAGATACAGATGGCAGGTAGATAAATATAAGTAGGGTTTATATTTGATTGTTGTTTTGTGGTTTATAAAACCATTACTCATGGAAAAAGGTTTGGACTATTTAAGCAGTATCACAATGTCTGTCTCTTATACACATCTGAAACCCAGTGCCTTACCACTATGCCACTTTCATAAAAAAATCTAGTTTTAAACTATTTATTTATTATTAAATTAGCTTTTAGAACTTATAATTGACCTTAAATAAATTAAAGAAATAAAAACAGAGAATGAAAATACAATACAATAAATATGTAAATATAAGAGTCTTTTTTTTCACACTCATCCCCGTGTATACATAATTTTGTTTAAAGAGTAACAGGCACAAAAAGAAAAAAGGGAGTCAACAAAAATGATTTATAATTAGGATAGGTCTATATAATATAGTAGTTATATAATATACAAATTACTTTATACAACTACAATGATTGCTAATAGAATTTCAGCATTTTAAAAATCTGCGTATAAGGAAGTTGAACAATATTCTTTATTCAGTAACGTCTTTATTCCAGTCATGGTTCAAGGTTGACGAATTATTAAAATAATCTTGTCTGTTGTATTACCAGACCCCGGGACATCTGGTGGACAAGCCATTGCCAAAAAATTCATGTCTCTTGAGTTATTCTAAACATTTTTCCCTACAGTGTCACCAGGCATATCCTCTAGGGAGTATGCGGTCTGCTGAAGTGAACATTGTTCCTAAGTTTCCGTTACAAGACCGTACACGTGCAGTCACCAGAGATTTAATAAAGCATGTAATTGTAGACAGTGATTGAAAAAAGTACATCCAATCGGAAGTTGACTTAAAATAACAGAAATCTACTAGAAAAAATGCATTATTGTTACCTGTCTAACTGACTTTTGACAGTGAATAACATCCTTTATCTAATAGATTTTTAAAATGTGGAACAAAGAAGACCTTGATAATGAGAAAATGAATTCAGCTTTAGCAGAATCCTTACTAATCTAAAATATTCCTAGATTTTCTATAGGATTGATTAAATTATTAAAACATTCAAGAAAGTTATGAAACATCATAAATATTATGTTAGCTTTTAAATTCTAGACTCTGGATAAATATTGAAAGGAACATACATGAGATTTCAAATACTAGAAAAAATCTCACTGAATGGAATTAGTACCAGGACCTGTACTAAAGTTTATTCATTCAATTTTAAATATTCCACACATATATTTTATGTAAATAAAAAAAAGCTAAATTTTTATATTGATCTTTGTTTCCTAGTCAAAATGAATGTACCATAGACATTCAAGTTCAAATTGTGTGGGAAGGTTAAATTCATTTTAAACTTTATATCCAGGAGTATTTCCATAAAAAAATGCATAACTTTGAGATCTAAATCCTTATGTATATGATGAGCGATAACATACAGATGTATGCATCATAAACAAAGCTAGTACTTAGATTTAATGTTCATATAAAGATGTCATGTTTATGAATAATCCACTACCTGTCTTTAAAGATATATATTCACTTGTTTTTTGGTATAGTCAGTGGCTTTTACTTGGATTAACTCATGTATTTGGTCGCTACGTTCATCAATCTTGGTCACATTTACTATTCCTGAGTCCACACAAGACAAATAATCCCATAATCCCCATAATATATCACAAACTGAATGTGTTCAGATACTAATATTATATTTTGATCCAGGTTCCAGAGAGGAACACTGGTAGGAGACTGTTATAAACCTCATGGGGTTTTCTAAGGACGGTAATATCACGAGAGACAATTGCGTATTTAATAGCGAGCTGACAATTAAATGCTACGTTCTCTGACATGACAACAACTCAGACACAGATGCTAAAAGTTCAAATGTTTGATATTGTAGCAATTTCACTCACATTAATGAAAATCATACTACCAAACTTGATTTAAAACTTAATACTAATATTTAGTGTAACAAAACAACATAATCACAGTATATTACTGAAAACAGCTCAATGCAATTAAAATTATGCATTAATCTTAATATAATATGTAACAAGTCATTACATTTCATAATGGAAATCATAACTTATTTAAAATTCATATTAAAGAATGAGGTATATTTACATAGATTTGGCAGCTGAGACAGACTTGCGTGTCAAATTCAGTTTATCATTTTATATACATCAAAATATAGTTGAACAAAATGTAGTCAGACTTTTTAAAGTAATTATTTAAGTAATTGTCACAATTTATGTTATATTACACAATTTATATACAAAGTTAATAGCTAAATTTTAAAATTTTAATATAATACTTAATATATAACAAATTTTTATTAAAGTTCTATATCATAATATTTAATTTACCTTAGTATGCTCAGATGGAAATACAGATTATTAGAATTTTAACTTAAATTAAACCTATTTGTTATCTTTATATTATTTGTCAAACTATTATTGCGCATACTGTAGGCCTATTTATTAATGACTATTGTGAAACCATTATAGAAATTTGAGGCAAATATCTATAGCATAATGTATAAAAACTCAGCTGCTGAAGAATTATCATATCGTAATCCAACATTACCAATGCAGAACAATCAAGTTTTCATGTTCTCTAAGAGCTTTTATTAATGGTTTGATGAGTCTTGCTAAAAAGCTAAGAAAACAATGTTAGCAAAGCTTGATAATAGTCAAAAAGCCTTGACAATGAACATATATCATCGTATGTTAGTTTTCAAGGAGTATCTCATTTTCCCCACCAGGAATTCAAACCCATGACAATGGAACTTGCTGTTATCACCCTAATGGACAGGTTTTCCATACCCGATTACATTTCAAATATTAAGTATCATTGTTTAATTCCCCACCGGCAGAAGAAAATACTATGATGTCTACGGGAGGCAGACAATGACAATAGCGAAGTGTCTCTGCTACGATATCTGGTTAACGAACCATTAGCATCAATAATGTTGGTATAGATAGATTAAGCTAGAAATTTCTGAAGGACCTAACTGTATAGGCACTTGATGCTGTATGAAGGGATAGGCCCATAACAAATACAATATGTCACCATGGCAATGGAACCTTGATTATTAAAATGTAGAAATTAAAGATTATTAAGCTAACAGATGAAAACCAATGAAGCATACACTTATACGAACACATTATATAAGAAGGCTGAAATTGCTTGAAAATTAAGAACAAAATAAGAACAAATTGAGGCTGAAGTAAAATGTTAAAAGGGGTTTTTACTAATTTTTTAATAGAAAAAAAAAAACAAACTTTATCTGCACCTAATGTGCAGTAGGTATGTTTATTTAATACCCTAAAAAATACAGTACAAGCAATATATCTCTGTATAGTAATAATATTCTATCTTTGGGAAATCTGTAAAACAAGAACAAAATAAGAACATTTTGAGCCTGAAATCTGCCAAAAAATAAGAACACTGAGCCTGGGCAAAATTTTACTGGTTCTTATAAAAAAAAGTGTATAATGTTAGTTTGTTTATGAAATATCCCTGTGCACATATATTATTTCTAAACCCGAATAATTATATTTTTGGTTTTATTAATCACAAAAGATATTTTAGGATACCCTATAAGCCTGTAGCATGATATCTATAGCACATCACATTATAG